GATGTTCATCAGTAAGTCTTCTTTGCTTCCAGCAAGCAAGGTTGTATCATCTGCATATCACAGATTGTTAGTGAGTCTTTCTCCAATCCTGATGCTACATTCTTCTTCACAGAATCCAGCTTCTCGGATTATATGCTCAGCATACAAATTGGTGAAAGAATACAACCCTGACGCATACCTTTCCTGATTTCAGTATTCTTTTGTTCTGTTCTAAAAACTGCCTCTTGGTCTATGTACAGGTTCCTCATGAACAAAATTAAGTGTTCTGGGATACCCATTCTTTGCAGTCTCATCTATAGTTTTTTTATGACCCACACAATCAACTGCCTTTGCATAGTCAAGAAAGAAACTGTAAACATCTTTCTGGTATTCTCTGCAACAGCAGTGATATCCCTAATTCCACATCCTCTTCTTAATCTGCCTTGAATTTCTTCCAGCTCTTGGTGTGGTGCTGAAGGTAAGGATCTTATGATCAGCAGTTCACATCACCAGCCACTCTTTGGAAACCCTATACAGGGTCACTATGAGTTGGAACTGACTCTCTTAACAACAACAACAATAACCCCATTCATATACTGCTGCAACTCTTTTTAAATTATCTTCAGCAAAATATTACTTGCATGTGATATTAATGGGATTTTTCAATGATTTCTGCCTTCCGTTGAGACATCTTACTGTGGAATGGCACAAATATGAATCTCTTTTAATTGATTGTCCAGATAGTTGTCGTCCAAATTTCATGGGATAGATGAGTTATTGCCTCCAGCACTGAATCAGTTTATTGAAACATTTCAGTTTGTATTCTGCTAGTTCCTGGAGCCGTGTTTTTCACCAATGCCCTCAGTGCAGCTTAGACTTCTTCAGTGCCATTAGTTCTTGATCAGATACTACCTCTTGAAATGGTTGAGTATTGCCGAATTCTTTTTGGTATAGTGACCCTGTGTATTCCTTCCATCTTTTAATGCTTCTTGCATCATTCAATATTTTGCCCATGTAGTTGTTGTTAAGTGCCATCGAGTCGGTTGGGTGGAGACTCTATTGCTTTGTGTTCAACACTACCCTAATGGTCACCACTCTTGAGTAAACCCGTCCCTAGATCTCTACTCCTCACTACTCTGTGGGAGCAAGGATTTCTGGAATTCTTTTCCTTCCGATGCTTTTCCTCCCTAGATCTATATCCTGTTCCATTCACCTTGTTTACCTCTGAGTGTGTCTACTCAGTTTCTTTATTTCTTATTGCAGATGCTTTGAAGTTACCTTATTTTGCTCCTCATCTGAAATTCCTACTGGCTTTTGTCTTATGGTGACTATGCTGAGCCAGGAAGGCTGGCAGAGTTTCTCTGCTCCATGTCCCTTCTCATTTATTATCTCCTTCCCATCAGTGTTCAGTTTTCTTTTCTTCCTTTTGGTGTTCAGGGGTCTAGGATCATCATCTGCATATTTCACTTTTCTCTTGGGGGTCTTTGCTGTACAGGGACAGCATGGATTTCTTGAGTAAACTACCATCTGGGCTCCTCCCCCGGTGGTATATTTTTGGTGCAGGAGTGCAAGGTGGACTAGTGAGATAGATTACGTATTGGGGCTATAGACCACATTTCTGCAGAACCCCTCTTCACTGAGATGGCAATGAAGAGAATAAGGAAAATCAAGGAGGTAAAACCTAAGGTCAGCAGCCACCTGCATGTAGGTACTTTGCAACTTCAATTACCAACACAGAGGCTCAGGAAACCATAAACCACTTCATGGCAAGGAGAAAACCAGCTGAGAATATGAGGGGGCATGAATGGAAAAATTCCATTATCTTTTTTTTTTTTTTTTTAAAGGTTTTTATTGTGGATTGGGTGAAAGTTTAGTTTTTACATTCAACAAATCATATACCTTGTTTCATTACAATGATTATAATCCCCTCCATGTACCATCTTTCTCTCTATCCACTTTAGCTTTTAAAAACACAAACAAAAAAACCCCACTCGGGCATATATAATAATTTACATCTCCAAAGGGCACATTCTACAAGTCTGCTCCTGGCCACCAGCTCTTAGTCCTTCTCTTCTTAGTCCATGAATCTAGAGTCCTCAGCCACTCCCCCTCTCCATGCCCCATCTCTGCCTCCATCTCTGGCGCTGCTGCTTCTCTGGATAAGGTCCTGCATTCTGCTTGTGTGTTTCTCTCTTGATGGTCCTAGGGTCCTCTGTTTCTGGACTGTAAAATTAACCACTTCCCTTTTTTTGTTACAAAACTTCTACCTTTATAATTGTGACTCCATTATCTTTTAATTCCATTTTCCATGAACATTTTGAAGTCTCTACAAACTCTCCTGAAGTTGAGCATGTAATGCCTGAGTAAATGCCAGTTTGCCATCATCCAGTTTAGTCACTTAATGAGAAACAACTGTGAAATTCCAGTGATAAGAAATGAGAAAAAGATTGGTGTTGAAGAAGACTACATGCTTGTCTCTTGACCAGATAACTAGAACTACTTCTGTTGTGGGTATTTTATTATTTTTATCAAACGACATCTAATTTTGTTAATAATAAGCATATTTTAAAACATTTTTTCCCTCCTATCCCTGGAATAAAGTTTAAAATTGTTTCATATATGGGCAAATTGAAAGCATTTAGAAGTGAATTTTTAATTCCACCCCTTGTCTGTCAGTTTGTCCTACTTTGCTGTGATACTGGAAGCTGTACCACCAGTATTTTAAATACTAAGAGGGTCGGTCTCCCATGGTGCACACAGGTTTGTTTCAGTGGCACTTCCAGACTAAGACAGACTAGGAAGGAGAGACGGACCACTTCTGAATGGGTTGCCAGTGAAAACCTTAAGAAGAGCAGCAGAACATTGTCTGTTATAGTGCTGGAAGATGAACCCCTCAGGTTGAAAGGCATTCAGTGTACAACTGAGGAAGAGATGCCTCCTCAAAGTAAAGCTGATTCTAATGATGTGAAAGGAACAAAGCTTTCAAGACCTTTATTTGCTGATGGGGCACAACTCAAAATGAGAAGAAATAGGTGCAAACATCTATTAATAATTGGGATGTGGAATGTACAGAGTATGGTACCTAGGAAAATTGGAAGTTGTCAAAAATGAAATGAAATGCATAAGATAGATATCTTAGGCATTAATAAGCTGAAATGAACCACATTGCATTACACAATCATGGATTATTATGCTGGAATGATAAACTAAAGTATGAATTGCATCTTGAAGGGAAGAAAACAAAAATCCTCACCACTGGACCAATGTGAGTAGTGTCATGATAAATGGAGAGATGATTGAAGTTGTCAGTGACTACATTTTGCTTGGATCTTTAATCGGTGCTCATAGCAGCAGCAGTCAAGAAATTAGACTTATTGCATTAGACAAATCTGCTGCAAAAGATCTCTTTGAAGTGTTAAAGAACAATGATGTCAGTGTGAGGACTAATGTGTGCCTGACCCAAGCCATGGTATTTTCAGTTGCCTCATATGCATGTGAAAGTTGGACAATGAATGAGGAAGATTGTAGAAGAATGAATGCATTTGAATTATGGTATTGGAGAAGAATATTAATAGTACCATAGACTGTCAGAAGAACAAAGCAATCTGTCTTGGAAGAAATATAGCCAGAGTGCTCCTTAGACACCAAGATGGCGAGACTTTGTCTCTCATACTTTGGGTATATTATCAAGTGGGATGAGTCTTTGGAGAAGGACAGCATGCTTGGTAAAGTAGAAGGTCAGTGAGAAAGAGTAAGACCCCCAAGGAGCAGTTAACAATAGGCTCAAATGTAATAACAGTTGTGAGGATGGCACAGGGTCAGACAGTGTTTCATTCTGTTGTACCAACTCCAAGACACCTAACAATAACAACAACATTTTTAATTTGTAATAAAACTTTCCAACTCAATTTTTGTCAACATAACTGCAAGTAGCTGTTAATAAAAGTTTTAATAATAGTAAAGTAATACACATCTAGATTTGTCTAAAAGAACTATATTTTTGTAGATTACTTGCTATTCAACAATGTCTTTTGAGTTCTCATATGTCTTGGTGTTAAAAAGATATAAAACACTGTACATTGAAAATAGTAAGCATTGTTATTTTTTTCCTCCATAAATGGTAAAATGAGTTGAGGGACATTTGGCCATTCTTTTTTTTTTTAATATTGCTAGAAAAGAGCTTTATTTTAGTATTGCTAGAAAAGAACTCGTTGTAGAGGATTGTTGAAAGCGTCTGGTGGGCATTTATGCTTTTTCACATTTTACTCACTGTTAGTTGGATGGACACGTCGGATTCATGCCTAGGACCAGGTGAGCGACAGTCCTGCCTCAGTTACTATTTTACTGTTATCTTTCTCTGTAATTTCTACTAAGAACTGAATAAGACTCTAAAACTTGCAGCTTATTAGCATAACTGTGTCATAGGTACAGCCCCAAGAAGCTAAAATTTGCACTGTGGTGCTTAGCTCTCAAAGGGATATAATTACCTCCTCAGTGATACCCAGGGTTTGGCATGACCTAAGCAAAAACATTTCATTTAGTTCTTTTATCTGGTGTGTGGCAAAGCAAGCTGTATTTATAGCAACTTGAAATTCCAGTGGCCTGGTCCTTACTGGCAGATGGCCACAGGAGCGGCTTGAGGGATGCGGCTAGCAAAAATCAAAGAGCTCATCAGTTCTGTTTTCTGCTGTCCTTGGCAGAAAAAAGTTTTGCTTTTTTTGTCATCCTACTTTCCTCTACCAAAAGCCCAAGAAATGAGATATTATCAGTTATTAAAAGTGCCATAATAACTACTACCAAGAGTATGGTCCTCTCTTGTTCTCCTGGTGACTGAAAGGACTTAAACCTAAATAGATGGATGTGTAACTTTTTCTGAAGGACAATGGGGTTACTCCTAAAATACACACTTAAAATACCACTTCTCAGTTTCTTAGTTCTTGAAAATCAACTGTGCCATTCTTTCCACACTCTCTCTGTCCTTTTACAAACCTGATGTTCTTTGTTTTTTCCTTCTGTTTCAGGACTCATCGTTGGGGTGATTCTGAGGTATGGCACCCCTGCCACCAGTGGCCATGACAAGTCCCTCAGTTGCACTCAGGAAGACAGGGCTTTCAGCACCTTATTAGTGAATGTCAGTGGGAAGTTCTTCGAATACACCCTGAAAGGAGAAATCAGCCCTGGCAAGCTTAACAGCGTAGAGCAGAATGACATGCTGAGGAAGGTGAGCAGGGGACACTCAGCCACCATTGTCCTGACAGTTTGTATTTCCTTAACGCTGTGAAGAGAAATCTTTTCCAAGTCCTGGAATATCAGCAACATTTCTGGGTCTCAGTTTTGCTAGGAAGCTTTTGGGTTGTGATGAGGAAACAAAGGAACCACATTTGACCCCGAGCCTTTCAGCTTGGTGACCACATCAGGCTTGTTTGGATCAGGATCTGACATGGGTACTGACTTTGCCACGTGTTTGTTTGTATGTCCCCATGCAGCTCCTTTCTTACCCCATCTTTTCTTTTCTGTCTGTTAGCCTTGTTGTGGGGTAGATAGGAGATTGTTTCTTTCTTAAACTAAGATTTATTTCCTAATTACCTTATTTTTTCATGGTTCAGTAGTATAAATCTTAGTTCTTCATTATTCTTTTGTATTATTCCACAAATATTTATTGGGTGCTTAGTCTCCTTGGTGGAGTCCTGTGGCGCTGTGGGCTAATGCGTCAGACTGCAAAGTCATTTGAACTACATGGTCGGTGGTCCAAGCTCACCAGCTGCTCCTTGGAAACCCTATACAGGGCCGCTATGGGTCGGAACTGACTCAACGGCACTTAACAACAACAACAACAACATTCTCCTTTGTGATGGATGCCAAAGGCCTAATGAATCTTCAGGAAAAAAAGATCTTGTTTTAGAATTTGAGTGCAAACATGTTTTCATTTGATATTGAAGGTAGCTAAAACACTGCATAGGAAAAGGATTCTGTGTTTTCTCACATGGTTAATTTCCAGGAAAAGCAAGAGATCTGTATTTGTTGACTACTTGACAACTTTCTAGACCAGAGCTCATCAGCAGGAAGGCTTCGATAGAGTGGTCTGGGAAATCAAAGTTGTTCTCTAGCTTTAGAAAAAATGCGTATTCAAATTCCCTCTAATTAAAATTTTGTTATACAAAATGAAAGTGGGAGACCAAACAAGGTAAAGATTATCATTGCTTGTTGAGGAGAAAAGAGACATCTTGAGGTAGGCTGGTGGGTACAAAAAACATTGGATTAGGTGCCAGAAAACTTTCATAGTAGTTCATACATTACTAGGTGACTTCCAACAAGTCCCACCCTCTTTGGGTCCAGTGTTCTCATATTGGATAAGTATTGTCCTGGAGTCCCTGGTGGTGTTGTATGAATGGTTACTGCACTTAAATGCTAACCAAAAAGTGGTTCTTGTTGTTAAGGGCTGTCAAATTCGGTTTCAACCCAAAGCAGCCCTGTATAGGGTTTCTGAGTCACTACTGGTGACTGGTGAGTTGAACTGCCGATCCTGTGGTTCAAAGTGACTTTGCAGTCCAGTGCATTAGCGCACAACACCACAAGGTTCAAATTCACCCAAAGGTTCCTTGAAAGAAGGTCCTAGTGGTCTCCTTTTGAAAAATCAGTCCTTGAAAATGCTGTGGAGCATGGCTCAGTTCTGACACATAGGGGATTGCTGTGAGGTGGAATTAATGGCAAATGGCGTTACTGTCCAGTGGCACATAGTGGGTTGCTATGAGTTGAAATTGACGGCAACTGGTGTCATTGTTCAAGGCCCCTTCTCATTCTGATAGTGAAATAAGGTTTCTTTTTAAGCATTAGAATGAAGATTTAAATTAATTAACTGAAATAAAAGCGAATAAATGTACCAACATGAGCATTGTTGTTGTTGTTGTTAAGTGCCGTCGAGTCGGTTCTGACCCATAGCGACCCTGTACAGGGTTTCCGAGGGTGTAAATCTTTACGG